TCGGGTGCAGCTGGGTTTTGACTGCACAAGCGACGCCTCCGCCGTGTGTAGGGCGGTCCCGTCGTATCCAGGTGTGTTGGTCCCAGCCCAGCTGCAGTTCGGAGTCGGCGACGTCGGCTGATAACCAAGTCTCCGTCATGCAGAACGCGTCCTGGGCGCTCAGATCGGGCGCCATGGCTCGCAGCGTGTGTAGCTTGTTGCGCACACTGCGCACATTCTGACAGAGGACGGTGAGCGCGCGCCGATGCTGCTCGGGCCCAGGGTTCAGCTCGACGTCGCCAGCTAATATCAAGCGGCACGCTTGATATTAGCGACATTTCATCTTTGACCTGACCTGTGACGTCATCGGTGACCCCGAGGTCAACGAAATTTGGTTTCCTTCGACAAATTTGACAGGCCTTTCGAACGCCGTTTGAATTTTGCGGATCCGTCCAGTAGTTTCGGAGATACGAGGGGGGGGGGGCAAAAATAGCCCCCCCCCCACCAGGTCACGTTATAAACAGACCCCACCAGGGCGCGGGTTAAGGGGGGGGGGGTGCGTTTTGGACGGTTCTCCCTTATCCAAAGTAAAAACCCGGGCATTTTGCAAAATGCCTATTGCCTATAGGCAGTTCATGCATTTTGCAAACTGCCTCTCCACTCATGTCACTCATGTCACTCCACATTTGATGACATCCTAAGGGGGCCTCGGGACAATTATGGCGTGTGGTGCGCCGTTGGACCCCCCCCCCCTTGCCTTTTTGCCCCTGATAGAGCCGGAGCTTGGCGGAAAAAACGGACGTGCTGCCCGTGACGAGAGGAAGACGATGATACCTAATTTGAAGGTCATACGGCATTGGTTGACCTTCCAGGTCAGGTCAATGACATAAAAGTCGGAAAAATCGGGACCTGTTGGAACGTCGTTAAGTGTGGTTGCAATGAGGTTTTTTGGGGGTGATGATCACAAATATCATGTTAGTTTTGATCACAGATGATGGCTTTATGCATTCAGGCCAGGTCGGGTCAGCTCAGGTCAGGTCAACCAGTAGGGGTCCTGCCATAGGTGTCGTAGTAGTAGTAGTAGTTTCATTTTTTATTGTAGTACTTTCATAGTGTTTCCAAATTTTCAGGGTAGGTGTAAATTTGACTGACGCGAGGGTACTGAACGTTTCGCCGCGATCGGCCGCTTTTAAAGGGACTATCCCGCCTTCTAAAATGTTGTTAAAACCAGTTAAATTGTGCCCGACTTTATAGATTGGATGACCAGGAACACAGTTCTGGCATTTATTTTTCATTAAACATCTTAGGCTTCCCATATTCCAAACACAAACTTTCAAATATGTGACGTCACAGCCCAAAATTACCTCCTTCCCCAGGCCACATTACTGTCATAAAGCTGATTCTTTTTACTCTGTAGGCACCACAACAAAGTTCAGACCAAGTTTTAAGCGATTTTTCAACGAACAAACCCATTTAAATCAGAATGACTAAACAAGGTGACGTCACACTAACGGTCGCTCCATGTTGAAGATAGGGCCTTGTACAAGGCCCATTTTCAAATGAAGGGAACGAATTTCTTCAACACCTAGAGGCCGCGGGGTTTGCAACCTAGATAGATAGTGGTTTCTGAACCTCGCCGCAAACTTGGCTATCTCAACTCAAACTCCATGTTAAAGGTGGGATAGTCCCTTTAACGTGAGGTATTCGCGAAAAACAGAGGGGTTCCGTTCGACCCCCTCCCCCCCCATACGGGCGAGGGCAGTGGCGCGGCCAGGGTGGGGTCAGAGGACAGCTGACCCCCCAAAAAAATCTGTCAGGGGCCCCCTCTGGTCTGAAACCTTCGGTGAAATAGTATAGAGAGTGAGAGAGTGAGAGTGAGAGTGAGAGTGAGAGTGAGAGTGAGAGTGAGAGTGAGAGACCACATTTACCGATTTTAATGATGAACTTTAGTGGTAATTTATTAGTTGACCAATCGTCGTTTTGAACGAAATTTCCTGTCAGACTAGTTCAGGGCACTGTTGTTCACTGTGCCAACATCATTCTGACATATTGCATCGCTTTTCTGCAAGATAAGCTAGCTGTTTGCAAGCAGCTGCAAGACGTAATTTAACCCGCGCGGGGCTGGGGTCTCCAGCCGAACGCGCGGGGCTGGGGGGGGGGGTAAATTTTATCTCCCCTGTTATCTCCCGAACTAATGGTCCGATTTGGAAAATTCAAACGCCAATCGAAAGCTCTCATCACGAACTACTAAAAACATGTACTTAACTTAAAGTTTGAGGTCAAGGTCAAGGTCAGGTCAAGGGTACAAATTGCAAGTTTCTACAGTATCGGCCTTGCACCGTAGTTGCCGAAGAATGGAGTCATGGACTGAGACTGATCGCCCAAAACGTGTTCTTAGGCTACCAAGACAATATTCGTTGCATACAATATCATTCAGAGGTCAAGGTCAAGGTCAGGTCAGGTCAGGTCACCAAAAAAACAAAATATAGAAAAGGGCATGTGCGACACATGTTTAATGGGTCATTTTACTCATAGAATTCAATAGGCACACTCAATAAGTGATATGGACCACCTCTGGATGAATTTCAGGTCGAGGTCAGGTCAAGGTCAGGTCAAGTGAGGTCAAATTTTGAAGTTGGTTGTTAAGGCCTAAAAAGGTGTCTATCTGATGCAGTTTTTCACGGCGAATCGAATGGTGCTATTTTGGTTTCCGTACGAGGTCTAGAACTTCCAAAAAAGTCATTTTTCAAAAAATTGTGTGTCGTGACGTCATAAAATTTTGAATAACTCCCACATTTTTGAACCGATTCTTCTAAAATTTGGTGTGTAGGTGCACATAGACCACTTCTCTGACATATATTCCGGTTTTTTCGATAGACTCAAAATTTTGGATTTTATAATGATTTTACCAAAAAAGTCATTTAAAAAAAAAAATTAGGCCAAAATCCAAAATTTTCAAAAAACCGAGATAGCCATTTGATAGACAAAGTAAAATTACGTATACCCTTTTTTGTTACGTCTTGATTCCTTTAAAAATGAAGATGTTAGCGGCGTTTGAACTTTTGCCGTTTTTGAGGCGAAAATGGCGAACATGACGTCACTAAAACGTCAATTTCTCAAAAATTTTCCGACGGATTTCGCTCAAATTTTCAGGGAACGTGTCAAATTGATGTAAGAAAAGGTACTGAAAGTTTGGCGGCGCTGCGCGCCGCCGTTTTTGAGATATCGCAAAAATTCGCGAGGGGGGGTAAAATTTACCCCCCCCCCAGCCCCGCGCGGGTTAAAATCATATCCAATTTTTTAATTAGACTTTTATGAAAACGTTATTTCGAGCGGCTAAAAATGAACATTTTATACTAGCCTCTGATTACTCATCTTTTGTTCCATATAGGTGCTTTGCTGCTTTTCCCTGCTACTTTTCGAGGTATGCGCCAGTAAACCACATGATGTAGGGGCAATTGTCACCTCGCCGCTCTACTGAAGGCCCGGCGCTCTTTAAAACGCTGGAAGTTGTGAAAAACAAACGCTTATAATCTAAATAAAATATATGTCCCTGAGCTCCGAATTGATCAACGCACACAATGCTGTCAACATTTCTGGGCCAAACTCAAAAATTCAGTCATTATTAACCCCTAAACACAAGTCAGTGATAATCAACATCAGCTCGCTCTTTAGTCAGACTTTTTGAGAAATGTTATTTCGAGCCGCTAAAAATGGCCATGCCATACAAACCACCAATCATCTTTCTGTCATGCCCTACTCGCAATTTTTGCTAATGCCTGCTACTCTTCGAGGTCACGTGACCTCACCATTAAAAGTGAATGGGGAAATAAGGAAACTGTTGTTTTTGCGCATGAAGTGATTTCAAACTATCTCAAGCACACGGAATCGTGATTTCGTGCACTCCTTGCAAGATCCGATGCTTTACTTTTGCATTGTTGACCTTCCGTGACGTCATTTATGACGTCACACCGGTCATAGGAGTTTCTCGTCAATAACTCACGATCAAATTGAGCCAGCGACTCGGGAAAGCCACCAATGGACTCGGGAAGACCTCCCGAATCGAATGATATGCGATACGACCTCCTTCGATTAAGTTCGTGGCCTGATGGGCTCTGAACTGACCTTGACTCGAGGTCAATACCTTAAGTTGACCTCACCCGAACAAAAAGCATACCATTCGACGCGCCTGAGCCAGGCAAACACGATGGTGCCAAAATCGCTGCTCTGCGGCCATTTTTTTGCGAAATTATTTGCCAAAAACCAAACCCTACCTTGGGCTTTTTGACTTCACCTCAGAGGTTACCGGTTGACCTGGGACCTTAAAATCGGGTATCAATCGTTCCGCCTTGAAACGGCGCACACGCTTGTTTTTTCCGCGAGGCTCTAGCTCCATTAGGGGCGAAACGGCAAAAAGGGGTCGTACGAACCCTCCCCCCTCGGCCGGCCGAGGGGGTGGGGGGTCCGACAATAGGTCCGGCGAGGGTTAAGCAGCCCCACTTCGTTTTTAGCATGTTTGCTTGTCACTGAGATCAACGACTCAATCACAATTAATTTCTAGCACTTTTCCGGACCCCCGGCCCAGTGTGCACCGGCCCGCGGGACAAGGGATACACATACAGAATTATCTATCAGTGAACACTTATTGAGCGGCTATTCACTCAGGAGCGGGATGGGTAGGTACTGAAACGCGCCGATTATAGTCCCAGCCGCCGCCTACAGAAGTACAGAAGTGCGAGAAAAAATCTAGACTGAACAGTCGGCAGAATCAGCAGCTGAACGTCCGTGCCAGCGGATCAGAATGGGGAAGCTGTCGATTTTTTTTATATATATTCAGTCGTGACGTTTGTAACGACCTTCCACAAACTATTCGTGACCTATGTCCGCAAGCATTTAAGAGAGCTGCGGAGCTAAATGCTCAACAGCAGATGGCTGTCGGCAACTCCGGGTCGTGAAGAGCCAATTGTTGTTCAGTGTGGTTGGGCTCGTTCCTGTAGCAGGGTAAGTGTAAATAGATGTTCACGGGTCCTGTTATTTTGTGATTTGTTTCAACTTGACACATTTGCACACGTCACATTGGTACCACAAACTGGTTTGAGAGTCCAGAATATGTTTCGGGACAGTACATCTTGATATACATCAAAACAAACGGAATACACCAACATAATTCATGGGCAATCGCATGCGCCGAGGTACTTTATGGTCACCACAGAAAACCAGCAGCATCGGCTATCCTGCGCGTCACAATCAACATGGTTTGTGAAAGTCTGGCAGTTCGAGAGAGAGAGAGAGAGAGAGAGAGAGAGAGAGAGAGAGAGAGAGAGAGAGAGAGAGAGAGAGAGAGAGAGAGAGGGGGGGATAGGCGAATAGCAAGAATATGATTGATCACTTTCCGAGCGAAGGCCGCGGTCACAAACCACTGACTGAACAGTTTCGGACAAAGTCGCACTGCGGATGTCACTAACTGCAAATCCACCACCACACGCGTTGAGACACCGTACCTTTGTCTAATGTACAAGTCGATATATCAGACCAATGCAAGTCGATAATAATGGCGAAAGAAAAATAGCGCGATACGGCTCTGAAGCGCTTATAAACAAGAACAGATCCATACCGTCCAGTCGTGAGCACTAAGCCACCAGCAGATCAACGGTACTGAGCTGTCAAAAGTGCGCGCGGACTAGAGTGCTGACAAATGACCAAAGTTGACTCAACCGTTTCTAGACGGGCCGCACTGCCACCTCTGATGAAGGCCCTCTGTCACAGTTGGAAGGCGCCGCAGCCCTCATGTCAGCACAACTCACTTGCACTTCAGTGTTCGGCGGTCCGTAGCAGTTGGGGAAGTCAAACTGTCAGTGTTCCGCCCTGCAGTCCGCTCACAATACATGCAAATTACTTCACACACAAAGAGCACAGAACATAAACACATAAAAGACGTCCACAGTTGCAAGGCACTGCGCCAGGCGCGCGGGAGCCGTCACAGCAGGGAGCAGCATCCCCAGCAGTGCCTATCCGGGTAGTCGGGGGCGTGCACCTTGTTCTCGTAGCCGTACACCCAGAACCGGCCAGAGTGGGACTTGTGCGTGTAGTTGACCTCGGCCACTGGAACCACGCGAACTTGATGTCGCTGAAAGGAACGGAGACAAACTGAGGACAAGGGACAAAATAACTATTACTTTACATAAAAAACGCGCGGCTAATATGTTGCTTGTGTGAACGGCGCTAGCCTGGCCTGATTTGATAATCACGTAACAGCCAAGTAAAAATAAAGCTCAACAAGCGCCATCCTTGAGCAGCTAGTGTTTATGTAATTATATTATTGTCCTACAGACAGCTGAAACATATCGTGAATCGGAATCCGTCCACTGTTGTGACAACTTAAAGCCCGAACACAGTTTCATTTCTAACGATCAATTAGGGTGAACCGCATTCATACAAGACACTTAACCGGCCGAGTGTGTGTCACTGTCTGTCGCCGTCCGTCTCGGGAGTACAGCATGGCAGGGTGCCAGCTCTGACCTGCGCCAGCACCCGCTGCTCGCACAGCTTCTGCTGGTGCTCCAGGATCAGCTGGGCCGAGGCCAGGTTGATGGCCGCGTCCGGGTAGTGGGTGAGCGGCGCCACGGCGGCCGCCTCCTCCTCGACGGCCACCTGGCCGCTCACCTCGCGGATCAGCTCCTCGGGCAGCGAGCTGTGCTCCACGATGTGCTCCGAGGTGGTCACCTTCCTGTGCACACATGGACGACGGCGGAGCTCAGCAGTAAGTCAGCTCACAGTTGCGTTTGGTGGTACACATGTAACCAGACAGCTGCGCAACGTAAAATAAATCGACGACATCCGATATCGTCGTAAGCATTCGATCATTATTTCACCGTATCCGAACGTGACAACTAATTCATCAATCTAGCTGGGAGAACATAACATGCGAGATAAGGAGGCTGACCTGTCACAAGGCCCATTTATTTTGCTATTAACACGCGACACACCATAACTTCCTAAAGCGTCTCGTAGGCCAAATACCAACGTCTGACCCGTATGTCACACTTGCCTATCTTGTGTTAGAATTATTTAATTTTCAAGAAATGTCTACCATGCAGCAGGGGACTGTTTAAATAGTACTTTATAGACCCTGGTGACTTTATAGACCTTGTCACCTTTGCACCGGCCTTTAATTAGTGATTGGCTGGCTTCAGCCGGTCGTTACTGACCACGAGATGGTGAGTCGAATGTAGCACCGCACTTGGCCGTAGCTGTCGCACGGTGGGCACGCGACGCGGCCCTTAGCGTTGCATTTGAGGCAGTCCTGCTTTCCGTCGCCATAGGCGGACGCCTGGCAGTAGTAGCACCGCTCCCGGTAGCCGGAACTATCCGCACTCCAGCCGTTGCCATGACAACTGAGGCAGCGAGTCTGAAATCATTAGCGTGGCTCGTTACTGAGATGAACGTTGAACAGATGACGCGCGCTACCGGGGAGGTAACGTGGGGCGAGAAAAACGCCCCGCTTCGCCAACGTCGTAGCGATAAGCTTCAAACTATGTCAGTGCAGCAAAAATGCTGAATTGCTCTACTAACCAGAAACAAATACGTAATAAGTTTTGACCACTGCCAATAAGCCGATGTGTTCATAGTGATATCGTGCACGGATCGCACGGATCTCAACCCTCGCACCGACGGGGGGGGCGGATATCCGCCCCCCCCCCCCTGAGGTTTTTCGCGAATAGCGGGAAAACCGCGGCGCGTAGCGCCGCGAAATTTGGTATGACTATAACCTCATCAATTTTACACATGGTGTGCAAGTTTGAACCTCCTACCTTTTAAGGTCAGGTCACCAGGTCACTTTGAATGACCCAACCTCAAGTCACTTTTTTGCAACTTTGTCACCGTGCCAGAGCTACAGTAGATGTCGGAGGCCTTTGAAAGTCGCAGGATATTATTAGGTCATTAGTAGCTACAATTTGTATATCTCGGAATTTTGATATCGGTGACCTAAGGTCAGGTCAATTTCGCGACCTCCCCATTATAAGTCAATGGGGGAAAATCAACTTCCTGTTTTTACCACTAAAACGGGTCGGAATGGCCCCATATACCATACATGACTTCATATACGATCAACCTTCACTACCTTGAGGTCTGTTTTGCTGTTGGGCAGCTGTGAGGTCATGTGACGTCATCAAAGGTCACCAAAGGTTTTTGGCCAATAACTCCGTACAGGAACAAGATACAGACGCGTGGATGGTCTCATTGTGTTCAGCTCGTCAAGACGCATCGAATGATATACATGATGACCTCGAGGTCACGTGACCTGAGGTCAACCTTTGACCTTGACCTTTCGAGGTCAACATATATATCATTCGATGCGGATTGACGAGAGGATCACGATGATGCCCTTAGTTTGTTCCTATCTTGACTAATTCGAAAGTTATTCGAGAAAAACTCTCCATATCTAGCGCCGTTATTTTGACTTTTTCGACCCCTGTGACGTCATCTTTGACCTGACCTGAAAATGACCTTTGTAAAAATTGTAGATCTTGGCCGTGCGTATCCGATGCCGTTTACCGCTTGTCGCTATCTTGCTTCGTTCTCGAGATCTCAGGGGGGGGGGGGCGGTCATCCGCCCCCCCCCCCCGTCGGTGCGAAGTTGGCGCAGACCCCCGTCGGTGCGCGGGTCAATGGAGCTGCCAGCTGTGATGTTATACACAGTACACACATGACCTGTCGTTCGTCGACTACCGTGTTTTGTAAGAACCAGCCGGTGATGGGGCGGTTTTTGAGCGCACGGCCAGAGGTGCCGGCGCTCTACATTCGATAACAGCATAAGGGCATACTAGGTATAGAATAATAATCGTATTACGTAAGGTTAATGCTATGAACGGCAACGATAAACTGACATTTTTTTCGTCGTTGGGGTCATGAATGAAAAAAAGCACCGTACAGTGCAGTACGCGTACTGCACAGCCGTACCCGAGCCTTACAGAAGCAATGATCGGCCGACCAGCGTCGGTGTTCAATTACCGGTTGTACAGGGCACGGCGGGTCGTGGAAAACACATTCGGGATCATGACGCAAACATAGACTGCCGAGACGATCTTTAACGTCCCCCGTGAAACGCGCGTACCAGCTCAACACCATCTGCGTGCTTCACAACTACCTACGTCGCGGCACTCACGTACTCAAGAGATGGCCAAAATTAACGTTGAGAATTCTGGTATGCGTAAAACCATTGGGAAGAAGAGTATGACAGATACATGAAATTTGAACTTCTAAAGCCAGACAGAGATCCACAGACTAACAAAAATGGAAGCCGAAGATCGGAGTGCCATTCGCATTCGAAACAACCCGACAGTCCAAGTTGTGAGTTGCATTACAATGATTCCATCATAACTGATAGTGTAGCATATGTTAAGTAATTTATTACTGTCGAGTGGTAGTGAGAGTACGAAAATCAACCGGACGAGTGAACCAAGATCCTCTGCAGTCCTTCAGCCTGGTGCAAGGGAAAGAGGAAAAGAATGCCTTCTTCAAGCCTCAGCGAGGCCTCACGCCGATGCTAAGTCTCCGGCTGAGCTTGAACCTGCTGTCGGAGTTGAACCTGCTGTCGGAGCTGGCGTCTTCAGTCTCAGGGCCGCCGCCGCTCCCGCCACCTCGGCAATCAGCGCCGGCATCGGCTCCAACGACCTGGACTCCGGAGACCTGCAGCGAGCAGTCATGGACGATTTCTTGGAGCAGTCCGCAGCAGATCGGGAAGCAAATGAGCTCCATGAGGTGGAGCCTTGGAGGACGACGGTCAGTCTGCCTTTTCGACCCTAGCGTCCACCAGTTCGCCGCTCGACCCCGAAACAGGTCAGACTCTGGTGCAATGGTGATGGCAACTCTTGCCCACTGGAGGAGGTCAATGACCGGGGTTAGTTAGATGAGCAGAGTAAGTGCGAATTACAAACGAACTACCACGGTGAGCTGATAGGAAAATCCGTTCCTGAGAAGCATTTTCTTGCTCATGTAACCCAGGGAAATGACTCTGCGAAACTGGAATCGGTGGCATGGAATCTTTTTTCCTACAGACCGTGAACCAAACCCCTTGACCGGGCGAGGGTGAAATATGTCGTTTTTGTCGCTTATCAGCCTCCTCAGTTGCAATAAAATAATTTATTTTGCTTGCATAGATGTCTGGCTAATTTATAAACCTACCTTTCCAAGTACAACATCCACCGGCAGTGAAATTCAGTCATCTCGAGCAAGAGATGACTGCTCGATCCGGAGCAGTCATCCCTGCTCCGGATCGGAGCGCAGTAACCCAACCAAACTGGCACACGAAGTCTCCGATAAGGTTCTGCACACATCGGGTCTCGAAAAGCTCAATGCCAAGCTGGCTACTGCGAGAATTACTCTCGAATCAGCATTCTCTGCACTCTGCCACTTCGCAGAACATCAGCCGAATTTCGCCGACTCAGACACTGCCGATTAGGCAGTGCCGAGTCATTGGAACTCGTGAGTCGGTGGTTTAACATCTGCAACGTGAAGTCACCGCACATGACCAAGTGGGTGAATGACAACCGTGTGCCGCTACGCAGACAGTGCAATAACCAAGGCCATATATAGTCAATAACTGAGAAGAGTGAACACTGAACAAGCCGCTCCAGTTTGTGGTGGACCTCAGGTCATTCATGCGTATTGCGTAACTGGGTACAACCTACAAATCATTGCCGTGACAGCCAAACTGTAGGACACAGGTATCGCGGTGTACGTACGCCACCTGTAGCGATCCTGACGGTCTCACCAGTCATCTAGAACGCTTCTGATACGTCGTTCAGTACGCCCTTCTCGGCAAAATTCAGTCAAACGCCATTGAAGGTCAGTTTGGTCAGAACCCTGACTGGCAGCAGATCTTGATCCGGTGCGCGCCAGTCTTGGAGGGAGCAACACTCATCGTCGGGGGTCTCAACTGATTGTCGGGAATTTATGTCCCCGATAATTCAGCGAGAAAGGCACTTTCACAGAAAGTCAGCTAAAGCCGACTCAGCACCCGTGCTTAAACTTACATGAATCGGAGAACGGAAGATGCTGAACAAGACCAGCTGCCTGACTCCACAAAGGCAGCAGTGGGGCATCTCGCGGGATATCTGGCTCGCTCAGCACGATATTACATGTATCTACAGATCAGCCGCTTCCAGTTGGTTTCCTTCTCCCCGTGCTCAATTATTCTCTTTTCACGAAAAAAAATTATTGTTGCGAAGAAGCACGGAAATAATTACATCTTTTAGTAAGCACATATTAACTGGAAGCAAACAAGGTGGCTCCGTCTCTACTCTTTCCGCCCTGCCACGGCGCCTGTCGCCCTGAGCGGTAGTGGAGAAGGGAGAAGCTTGGTCGTGGAGACGGGCCTGCACCTACCGATCTCTTGATTTCTGGATCCCAGCTAAGGTCACTCGTCAAGCTTCCATAATTCCAAGAGAGGCCGTGTTTTACCATTAAAAGTTGATGAACCTATAACTCTTGTTATTTTGCTCGAGTTTCATTGTTAAGTGGTTAAAATCATACATTTTGCATTGAAAAATGATAGCCGTTTTTCTATAATGTAAATTTGCATAAATATAGAATACTGGGGTGGTAACTTTCCCCTACTTTTGCCCTGAACCCCCAGCACCAAGCTCTGGTGCATATATGTATGATCTTTTCGATGCCGTAGTGAGGGGGGTATCTGATTTGTCTCTTGGTCGTGGTTTCTTATTGCTTTGTTATTTACCCGAATATTAATATTTAAACTGTTAGGTTGCCTGTTTTTCGTTTATCATTAGAGTACCTTAAGGATATAATGTATATAATAAGGATATAATTCAGGCAGCGAAAGGAGATCACCAGCGGGTCTACCTCGCCGCCCAACTCCTCAGTGAGACCGTCGCTAAATCAATCCCGGAGATCTTCAAAGGGCAAGAAAGGGCAGCTGAGGTCATCAACGTCATCGGCAGCGGCTTTGATGTCCTCAACTCCCGGCGGCGGTACGCCGACAAGCCACTGCGGTGCGGCCTGGGCGTTCACCTGACCGAGCAGGTAGCAGCACTCCGCAAGCTGGAGGAGCTCCTGCTGACGGCGCGGTTTGAGAGCAGGAAGACCCTTCTTCCATTTCAGTAAGCCTTTCCGTTGTCCATTCGCTCCACCCTGGCGCTCTACAAGGAGATGGAGAAGGTGAACGGGTTCCAGTTCCTGCAGACTGCGCTGCTCAACCAGGACGCCCTGGAGTCGCTCTTCAGCTCGATCAGGGCCATGTTCGGTTCAAACATGAACCCAACTCCAACCGAGCTGCTGTACCGCCTCCGCCTTCTGCTGATCGGTGTGTCTCCGGCAGCAGCGCGGCAGATGTCCGTCCGACCAGCCAGTCTGCCTGACGAGCCTCTCAGCGCTGCGCGTGCCGGC